CATGGAGGCTATAATATGAAAGATAGTAAAAAGAAGCGATATCGTTTTTTTTTGTTCTTCGCCATGGGTCATTTGACAAATTCACATTTGTCGAGCCAGCGACGCCAGGTGGGGGAGGAAAGTCCTCGAATGGAGGCCACGGATGGGTACAAGGAGCGTGGGGTGTCCTCCAACCAGGTGGACTGACGACTTAGTGCGCACGGCGGGAAGTCGTTGGATGCGGAAGGCGGAGGACCGCATTATGTGGAAGGCATTGGGGAAGGCCTATGTCCAGCAGTGGGCAGATAAAGGCTGATGATGATGATGATGATGATGATGCCATGGGGTAATATCAACTTACACAAAAATATTCTGGGGTAATAATTAAAAAAGTTCCCCGACCGCTGGTTTAAGCGATATCATCTTAATAATTCTATTGTTTTTTTTTTAGAGATTTTATGACCTGGTAACTGAGACCTTTAAGTCATGTCTTATTTTAATTTATATTATTCATATTTTTATGAAAAAATTATTTTATGGAGTGAAATGAAATGAAGATAATTAATTTGAGACACTAATCAACTGGGATGAAATGAGATGAGATGATATGGGATGAAATATAATCTCAGTAAAATGGTGGTCATTTACTAAGATTTTTTCAGTAGACTTTTTGGAGGATCCCGAGAAGTTACGTCCAGCGGCTTTGTTTCATTTTCCCACATTTGTGCACTTTCACAGATAATAAACAGTTAATAAACCACCATTATTACACATTTAAACCCGAAGAAACACTAAATAGACAAAATAAAACAAATCACACAACTTCACTCCTCGCGTTCCCGCCAAAAAGTCATAATTCTAATGTGACTTCAGAAGTGTGTAGATTCTGTGGTATTCTCCGGCTAAAATATATGCATCGGTAAAATGGCGTTGCTAAAATGGGCATGGAACATATTAGGTGTATTTTCTATGACACGTAGTGTATTTATTACCTGTGAATCCTCGTTATTCTAATGCCGGCCACTGACATGCGCGCAAATATTCGTATATTGTACGAATGTTTGCGCGCATGTAAAGGGCCGTCAAACATTCATTCGTAAACCTAGCGGCTGTGCAAATGGGTTCGCATACTCAATTTGCGAACCCGTTTGCGCTTCCTCCTACACTTGTTTACGAATGTCTCACGAATTTCTCCTCCTTTTTAATTCGTCAATAGAACATTGAAGAGAAAAAAAGTTTTTAATTCTTTCCCAGACATCATTAACAGCCATGCTGTTTTTATGGGATTTCTTTTGATGAAGATTATTTCACATAAGACATAGCCCCGACTGAGATATAGCCAACACACAAGACATAGCCCCGACTGAGATATAGCCAACACACAAGGCATCACCCATACGGGATCTAGCCAACACACAAGGCATCACCCATACGGGATCTAGCCAACACACAAGGCATCACCCATACGGGATCTAGCCAACACACAAGGCATCACCCATACGGGATCTAGCCAACACACAAGGCATCACCCATACGGGATCTAGCCAACACACAAGGCATCACCCATACGGGATCTAGCCAACACACAAGGCATCACCCATACGGGATCTAGCCAACACACAAGGCATCACCCATACGGGATCTAGCCAACACACAAGGCATCACCCATACGGGATCTAGCCAACACACAAGGCATCACCCATACGGGATCTAGCCAACACACAAGGCATCACCCATACGGGATCTAGCCAACACACAAGGCATCACCCATACGGGATCTAGCCAACACACAAGGCATCACCCATACGGGATNTGCTTTTCTCGGGGTATTTTTTATTTCTTGCGTTTGAGTACTTGATTCCTCTTGTTTGACCTTTATATAGGACATTTTCCAGAAATTCCAACGTCATATTTACTAGAAGATACTCCTCGTTCGCTTAACGTCAGGCAAATGATATACATGCTTGCGTGCGACGTTATTCAATACAATAAAAAAAGTTCAAAAAATACCACGTGGTGGCTCTTGTAATATAAAAAATACATTGCAAAATTATAGTTTTTCACGATTGTTTTTTCAAATTTAGTATATGACATAGATTAAGTACAATTTACAAGACAAATGGTATTAAATATTATAATGAGAAAAAATATCTCACATTTTAAAAATATATGCTCACACTAGTAAAAATTTATCAATGAATGTGACATATGGAAGGATATTCCACAAACTGGAGATGATTCTCGCTTACAACCACTTACAATACAAGTGTTCACCATGATTACACGGAAACTTTCACGATTTTCGAAAAAAAACAAGCCACAAGCTGTATCAGTGACCTTTTAACTTCGAACTACAAACGTAAATAGACGCCATTTTTCTTTTGATCCATTCATAGCTCTTTTTCGGTGATGCCAACAATTAATCTGGCTTCCCACCAAGTTCAACATGTAAACCATCAGAAATCTACGTACCTACCATTAAATTTTCCATTAAACAGAGTTCTTATTATTATAGAACAATAATTATTTTGTTAATGAGCTTTATTAATTTATGATGCTCTATTAAAAATCAACATAATAATATATCATATAATCAATACTTCTTATATAATTTATTTTAATAAATTGTCATCATCAGAAACTAATTTCACCATAACTTTGTACGTTTCTTTTGAACCAATTTAATTTTTGACGTTGATGGAAATTCTAAATTGTCGCAAAATTTTCTAGTTAAGTATAAGTCACATCGTTTAAATAATATTATTTAGATATATTATTGTCATAAAATGTTTACAATCCTGTAAAGTAGATTGATTTTAACCTTTTCGATAATTTTCAACAACGCCCAAGCTACTAAAAAATCCACTAACCATTAAAAGCCATTTTTGATAACTAAGACAGGGGTCCAAATTACGAGAATTTGTGGAAAATCCTCTAAGCTAGCTATACTGCTTTTTGTTTGTAAAATGTGCGAGAGGGATACCACCACTTAATAATCATTCTCTTTTCAGACCGTTTTTCCTTACATCTTTTGCTATTTAAAAATAAACTTTAAGCCTTTACTTAGAGATAAAGTATATTTTTAGTTTTTATGTCAAACCAAGTAAGCACTCCAGTTAGAATAGTAACTCCATGATTGACAAATATCGGTATTAACCCATCTTTAGAACGGAGCGATATGGAGGGATGACAGATATGGAGCATGACTGAGTGAGGGAGATAGGAGATGTCATGTTAGGGAGTAAGAAAGACGGCAAATGAATGCGGAACACTTAGTTTTATTTTTGAAGCGAGAAGAGGGTAGTTGCTGTACGCGACGGCAGACAGACAGACACGGTATAACTCTGAAGAAGCAAGACATTTATATTTTATTTACATAGATTAAGACGATTAAGACGAAATAAAGAATCAAGTTTGTGTGAAGTGATCAACCGTTTCACTGGCCCACCCTGAATATAAAACCCCAAATAAATATCCACACGATGAGATACTTTGCACGAGTAAGCAACTTTTGGGGCTTCGTGTGTCGACACACAACTTACATACTACCAAAAGTGAGCATCTTGATTTCTCGCTTCACTTTGGATAAATTGCTTACCGAGATAGTCGGCATTAAGTTAGTACTCGCACACTCAGAAACGTATCGTCAAAACTGCAGCTCACCAGACATGCAACTGTGTAATCAATAATAAATCGTTTAAGCCAGCGGTCGGGGAACCAGGGTAAATTACCCCAAATTGGGTAAAATGAAATTTTGGGGGGTAAAAATGAAACTTTTGTGAGTAAAAAATATAATTTGAAGTGAAACTACTTTAGAATCGTTAAATTTTTAGTTATTGTTTTCTTTTCAAAATTATCATGGAGGCTATAATATGAAAGATAGTAAAAAGAAGCGATATCTTTTTTTTTGTTCTTCGCCATGGGGTAATATCAACTTACACAAAAATATTTTGGGGTAATAATTAAAAAAGTTCCCCGACCGCTGGTTTAAGCGATGTCATCTTAATAATTCTAATGTGACGTCAGAAGTGTGTAGATTCTGTGGTATTCTCCGGCTAAAATATATGCATCGGTAAAATGGCGTTGCTAAAATGGGCATGGAACTTTATAGGTGTATTTTCTATGACACGTAGTGTATTTATTATCTGTAAATCCTCGTTATTCTAATGTTATCTGGACTTTTTGGCGGGAACGCGAGGAGTGAAGTTTTGTGATTTGTTTTATTTTGTCTATTTAATGTTTCTTCGGGTTTAAATGTGTAATAACGGTGGTTTATTAACTGTTTAATATCTGTGAAAGTGCACAAATGTGGGAAAATGAAACAAAGCCGGTGGACGCAACTTCTCGGGATCCTCCAAAAAGTCCACTGAAAAAATCTTAGTAAATGACCACCATTTTACTAAGATCTCATTTCATTAAATTTCATCCCAGTTGATTAACGTCTCAAATTAATCATTTTCATTTCATTTCACTCCATATTATCATTTTTCATAAAAATAAGAATATAAATTAAAATAAGACATGACTTAAAGGTCTCAGTTACCAGGTCATAAAATCACTTAAAAAAATAATAATGTTATCTATCTGTCTCTTAGGTTTATGGCGTTTCCTTTTAGATTTCGCCAATGTCAAGTGTATATAATACTCTGCTTTCTATAGCGGACTTCGTATTCTAATGTTACCCCACCGTTTGTTTTGACTTCGAATGATGTCACCTGTTGAACTGTCAAATTTGAGCGGCATTTTAAAATATAGGAACCTGTCATGGATTTTCTGTGTATTACAGATATAAGTAGAAAAAGAAATTGGGTTCACCGTTGTTGGATAAACTCGAAGCATGGCCAAGTTAATCTCGTAATTTACATAATGATATATTTATGTATTTGTTTGTCAGAAAATCTGTAAATTATTTGGTACTTGTCTACTCATGAAGCTACGCATTCTACAAACGACATAGCGAAACTAAAAGAGTTCACGTTGTCATTTACCAACAATAAACACAATAATATGAAACAAAGTAATAAATCTGGTACAAAACTTTATTTTCACTTATTTATTTACATTCACTGTGTAACAGTTTATAGTCACTCAAGTCAAACGCGCACTTTGGTTGATCACATTAAAAAAGCATTTCCGTATTGCACGTCATTAATCTTCACAAAACAGATCCGAATATGAGTTTTAGTATTGCGTTGTGTCACGCGACTTCCGTTGTCTTAATACAAAACATTGAAACATTCGAGGAAAGTGTGATTCCGCGGCCGATTCCAGATCCCTGTGCCAATTTTTTTATCCTTTACTGAAAAAAGTTTAACCCAACGACAATACTTTCACATTCTTAATATTCTTGTGATTATAATACACTAATGCTATTATAATTTTGAAATCCCAGTTTCTTAAATATGTGTGATATTTTCTCCATAATTGATTGCATATTCGGGAGCATCAACCACCACTCATGATTCAGTAGTTCCAATCGCAGTGGATAGACGTCGCTGTTTAAAAAAATTCTGAATTTGACTTGGTAATCCATTTCTGTTTTTTCTATGTTTTTGAGCGTTTAATGCAATATTGTTTCTTTGTTCGATACAAAACGTATGTTCGTCTTATCTGCGTTCGTCCATTGTTCTTTCGAGTGAGTGGATAAACGTTATTGATACGTCCATTTTTAATTTAGTACCATCAACAATAGATGGCGTGCGAACAGTTTCCTTAGAACCGTTATATTTAAAAAAATCGACACTTAGATTTGAAGCTGGAAATCTTTCTTTGAAGTGATCAATCGTACGTTTGGTTTCGATGCTCAGACTCCCATATCCGTGTTGGTCCTCCCGTTGTGGGAGTCCGGTACGTCGATCCCGCGTTCAGAAATCCCGTTAAGGCCGCCACGCTCACGGGAACTTAATTGTCAGAGATCTGCGGACAAAAGCTACTGTTGGAATCGCTGTTTTATTTATTTATTGCTTAGTTGGGTGGACCAACTCACGGCCCACCTGATGTTAAGTGGTTACCGGAGGCCATAGACATCTACAACGCAAATGCGCCGCCCACCTTGAGATATAAGTTCTAAGGTCTCAGTTTTTACAGTACAACGGCTGCCGCGTTTTTTATATAAAAAGTGCAAAGTCATAAAAAGCAACGATAATATAAAAAAAACTAGCCGTACTTGCCCGCTTCGCTGGGCGTTTAAAATTAACATTATTATTTATTGTCATTATTATTAGGCAGTCCAACACTCATATAAATATTAGCCTATCCATTAAGTACATGTATTTTCTACATAGATACCAAGTTTCAAGTCCATCGGATGCATGGTTCAGTAGTTATAACGGAACATCCGTAAAAACCACTGTAATTTTTTTATTTTTTTTATTGCTTCGATGGGTGGACGAGCTCACAGCCCACCTGGTGTTAAGTGGTTACTGGAGCCCATAGACATCAACAACGTAAATGCGCCACCCACCTTGAGATATATATATTTTTTTATTTTTATTGCTTAGCTGTGTGGACGAGCTCACAGCCCACCTGATGTTAATTGGTTACTGGAGCCCATAGACATCTACAACGTAAATGCGCCACACACCTTGAGAAATAGTTCTAAGGTCTCAGTATAGTCACAACGGCTGCCCCACCCTTCAAACCGAAACGCATTACTGCTTCACAGCAGAAATAGGCGGGGCGGTGGTACCTACCCGTGCGGACTCACAAGAGGTCCTACCACCAGTAATTACGCAAATTATAATTTTGCGGGTTTCATTTTTATTACACGATGTTATTCCTTCACCGTGGAAGTCAATCGTGAACATTTGTTGAGTACGTATTTCATTAGAAAAATTGGTACCCGCCTGCGGGATTCGAACANTCACGGCAGAAATAGGCGGGGCGGTGGTACCTACCCGTGCGGACTCACAAGAGGTCCTACCACCAGTAATTACGCAAATTATAATTTTGCGGGTTTCATTTTTATTACACGATGTTATTCCTTCACCGTGGAAGTCAATCGTGAACATTTGTTGAGTACGTATTTCATTAGAAAAATTGGTACCCGCCTGCGGGATTCAAACACCGGTGCATCGCTTCAACACGAATGCACCGGACGTCTTATCCGTTAGGCCACGACGACTTCAAGTCACACCTTGAGATATAGTTCTAAGGTCTCAAGTATATTTACAACGGCTGCCCCACCCTTCAAACCGAAACGCATTACTGCTTCACGGCAGAAATAGGCAGGGTGGTGGTACCTACCCGCGCGGACTCACAAAAGGTCCTACCACCAGTAGATTTATATATTAGTATAGATTAGAAGAGTGTGATAGTCACCCATTGTCTCCTGTTGTAATTCTAGTTTGTACGCAGGATTGTCGTAGGGAGGAAGAGACGACTCTCTCGGAGCTGTTGGTACTGCTGCAATGTATATATTAAGGCATTAGTTAGCTCCGACTCTACCGGCTGTTCAGCCGATATTGGGATCCACAGATAGCAATGACCTCAAATAGTAATATAATTAACGATAGAATTTACAAAGTAGCTATAGCTTTGGTGAAATAATAATAATGATTTTATATATAGCCAATATTGATGTATATATAATCTATGGCTGGTTTTGTTTCAGCCCCAAATGACGTCACACGTAATGACGTAGCGTCCTACCGAGTTTGGTAATGATGTCGCGCGATTAATACAAAAAGAAACGTCGGCTTCCTGACCGCTCTGAAGTATCAGCTTCTTCCGCTACGAATTGGAAATTATAACTGTATTGCCGTAGTGGTAGAAATAACAGTAGAAGACGCCCGTGCGGACGCAAAATTAATACGCTTTAATTCGATTATTCTATATTTAAAAAAACATTGTATATTTTCACATTGAATTAGTAAGATTTACAAACTGTCGTGGCGTGCAATCTCCTTGACAGGACATACGAGCCACAACGACTAGACATAGACTAAGACAGAGACTTGACAGATGATTCGAAATAACACAAAAGAAAAGAAATGGAACCAGGACGCGACTCGCAGTGATGATTCTTTTTAATGCCTTCATAAAAGACATTTTTTTTTTCTTACCTAAGCTGATAGCCTTGAGGGGCTATTTCAGCGTAATCTTAACTAGTAGGTGAGCTCACGGGACTCAAACCGGAGAGATGCTAATACTGACCCTAGCAAGAGCAGTGCTTCGCAGAATCTACCACTAAATCGGAAACGCAACCCACTGAGAAGATTCGGCGAGAAACACAGTGGGCTAAAAAGACAAACGAAATATACGACAAATAAACGAACCGACCGTTCACAGTTTTTTTTGTATAGTTAAAACTTACGTGTGATGGGCACGGATCTAGGGCGGTGTCGTCTGACCACAACGAGCAGCAACAGTAGGGAGGTCAGCGCCCCGAGGGCCGCCAGCACTCCGGCGACGACCAGCCCTCCGTAGTAGTCCCCGCGCTCTGCACTGCGGCTGCCGGATACTGAGGATGCTTCGATTTCATCTAAAAATACACGAAAAATCGCCTTGTTATTCCTGTTTACTCTTTGTCTCTAAGAAGATAGAATGTGAAGAAAAAATACCGTTGAATTTCCTGATCTATAAAATATGTAAAAGGTTTTGAACATATGCGCTTCTGTGGCTCCTGATATCTGCGCCAACGCGTTGGTGTCATGTCTCCTTCAGAACCGATAGGGTGTCTTTTTTTTTTCTTTCCTACCTATGCTGATAGCCTTGAGAAGCTATATCAGCGTTACCCTAACGTGTAGGTGAGCTCTCGCGGCTCAAACTGGAGTGTTGCTAACACTGGCTCTAGCAAGAGCAGTGCATCGCAGAATCGGAAACACGACCCACTATGAAGATCCGGCGAGAAACTCAGTGGGCTGTGTCTGTGGGTTAATTTTTTCACCGAGCCCTTCGTCACAAGCGACGGGTTCGGCGAGGACGGTGACCGGTGTTTGAGGTACCTAAAGCATAATTAATGGATCGTTGGGATCCGTAATGAAGTGCTTAGGGTAACGTCGACTGTTTACCATTCAGTCCACAGGATTGGGTATGGGGTGCCGTCTTTGCGGAAGACTGTTCATGTCCCTGTCCCCAAGAAGGGTGATCGGTTGAATCCCTCGAGTTACAGGCTTATTGTGATACCTCCTTGCTCTTTAAGCGGCTGGAACTAGTCATTAACACTGAGCTTCTAGGATATCTTGAGCGTCACCAGCTAGTCATCGACGAGGCCAAGAGATTAACGAATCCTCGGACAACATGGGCGATGGTCTCGCTGTGAGCCCTGATATTACGACAGGGTTTGTCATAGGCACTTCCATTGAAGCTAACAGCTCACGAAGTTCTACATTTCCCGTAGAACAGATGGCCAAACTGTTTTCTAATGGCAACCGCGCATTGGGAGATGCAGAGTAGATTGACCTACCAGAAGAACCTTGGGAAGGCCCATTTCTAGAACTGCCCATCTCTGAGCCGATGTTAATAATTATAGAAGCAATAAAAACCTGAATTACAAATTTAGCGCTAGTGATATTTTTTTTTTTGTAGTGGAACTTCTTTAGAATCTTTGTGATTTCAAACTCGATGAAACGAAAAAATAAGTGCATAAAGAGTTTTTTAATGCAGCGCCATCTATGAGATTTTTTAATAAATATCAGTTCACAGGGGGCGCTACCTCATACTATAAAAAGTGATGTACAATTATTTAATAATGACAAAATTTTACATATACTTAGACATTTAGGATAATTGTATTTTAATTTTTGAAGATTTCACTTCTACCACGTGTGAATTGCACACGTGTATTTTTTTTGATTGCACAGATGTGTGGACGAGCTCACAACTCACCTGGTGTTAAGTGGTTACCGGAGCCCATAGACATCTACAAAGTAAATGCCGTCACCCACCTTGAGATATGAGTTCTAAGGTCTCAGTATAGTTACAACGGCTGCCCCGCCCTTCAAACAGAAACGCATTACTGCTTCACGGCAAAAAGAGGTAGGGTGGTGGTACCTACCCGTGTGGACTCATGATAGGTCCTACCACCAGTAAAAATCGGGAGTAATTTTTAGCTGGTACACAGAGTGTAAACAATCCAGCACACTCACTGTCCACGTCCTCAGGCTCGTCCGCCGGCCTCGTGTTGATCTCCAGCACGTTGCTTGTCTTCACTTTCCCGTTCGTCAGGAACAGTTCGAGCCAAACGCGACATCTGAGTGGAACGAGTTTTTCAAGTCAACAATATTAATTACAAAAATAACATTGAAAGATTCGTTAAGCATATATACGTTTTTTAATTGCTCGGTGGGAGTTTTTTAACGTTCTCGATAGCGTCAAAGTTAACTCAAATTTGTATGCAGTTGGACAAGCGCCCCTAGCGGCAAACGTAGGCAAACGGTTACGCTATCGAGAACGTTAAAAAACTCGCACTAAGCACACAGAATGAGATCACAGCGAATCTGGTGTTAAATGATTAATGGAATCCATAAACATGGCGATGTGAAATCCCTCTGTGAGAAGACGACGTTGAAGTGAAGTCGACGTCTTAATTGTATAAGGGCTGCCCTATCATGCAAACGTATTACTGCATCTCGGTAGAAGTTTTCAGGATAGTGATACCTACCTTCACAATGTGTTCAAAATGGTGATACCCTCCCAATGCCCTTACGAATAGTTACAAATTTTTTTTTATTGCCCTTGTAGGCAGACAAGCACACGGCCCACCTGATGGTCAGTGGTTACCGTCGCCCATGGACTTCAGCAATGTCAGGAGTAGATCCTGTTAATATTGTAACAAAATGTAAATGATTACTAGCGCCATCTGTCATCATCTGTCTGTATATAACTTTGACAATAAACAGTTAGTCTATCCTCAGCCGCCATTTTATTAGGTTATGGGCCCAGAAAATCGCAAAAAATCAAAAAAATCCCAGTATTGAGTCGTTTTAACAAGATTTTGCAGTAAAGCAAGTGTTAAAAGACAGTATTCAGTGAGATTTAGTTGTGAACTGGACTGATCGTATTGATTATCGCAGTGTATTTGTGGAGAAATTGTTCGTCAAAATGGCTACCAACTACCTTATCAATGTGCCGAAACTAAAAAGACGCGATAATTATTCAGAGTGGTGTTTCGCTGCAGAAAATTTTTTAGTACTCGAAGGCATGAAGCATTGCATCAAGCCAGAACCGGGTAAAGAAATAGCAAGCGCGGATGACGAAAAAACTAAAGCCAAATTGATCATGACCATCGACCCGTCGTTGTATGTACATGTCAAAACCGTTAAATCGTCGAAAGAATTGTGGGATAAACTAAGGCAATTATTCGATGATAGTGGCTTTTCACGAAGAATTAGTCTATTGAGAAATTTAATTTCAATCCGGCGAGATAATTGCAGTTNGCAATTCAGAAACAATTACATTATATAATGATTGTCAAAGCGCACAAAAACTTATTTTGAACCCAGTATACCATAGAAGGTCTAAACATATAGACATAAGATACCATTTTCTGAGAGAAGCAGTTGCAAACAAGTTTGTTAAAGTTGATTATTTAGAAACTGCTGAAATGCCAGCAGATATTTTTACAAAAAGTTTAGGGTCTGTAAAGCATAAATATTTCACAAAAAAGCTTGGTATATTACCTGTTACGAAGTATTTATGATTTTGTTAAGCGGAGGTGTTAATATTGTAACAAAATGTAAATGATTACTAGCGCCATCTGTCATCATCTGTCTGTATATAACTTTGACAATAAACAGTTAGTCTATCCTCAGCCGCCATTTTATTAGATCCAAGCCGCTGCCTACCGTAACAGACTTTTTTTTTCATGTGAGCAGCAGGAAATCCTCACGAATACCCAAGGGTATGCCCGACTCCACTGAGAAAATGTCTCAGTGACCTATGGACTAAAACTTCCCTCCTGGTTATCTGTAAATTTTTATTATGGGACAACGTTTATCGCTGTACTAGTCATTAGCCATTTTCAATATGCATGCTTCCGTAACAGACGTTACTAGACGGCTTGCAAAATAATTAACCTTGAATCCGGTTCCAGGCCGCTGAGAGTGAGCGTGGTCGGCGCGTCCCTCGCGGCGAGTGTGAAGGCGTCGTGCTCCCTCCCCGCGGCCCGCGCCCCGCCCGCCGCCCGCCGCCCGCACGAGTGCGCGGCTCGGTACACGCGCACCCAGCGCTCGGCCGGCGCCGGCACGCCGCGCCACGACACCTGCACCGCGCCCGCGCCCACCGACAACGCCTCCACCGTCACCGACCAGTTGTACGGATCTGGAATGAACAACGCTCTATGAAATATTTCTGATCACGCGAATCACGGCTGACGTCATCAATATACCGGAACAATGCGTAGTTGTTTTCGAACGGACTATTATTGTAAATTTTTTTTCCTCCTTGACGTGTATGTAAGCGCACGGGGCTCAAACCGGGAGTGTTACTAGCACTGGCCCTAGCAAGAGCAGCGCTTCGCAGAATCTACCACCGGATCGGAACCGCGACTCGCTAAGAAGATCCGGCGAGAAACTCAGTGGGCTGTGTTAATTTACCCCTTGAGCCCTTCGTCGCAAGCGACGGATTCAGCGAGGACGGTGACCGGCTATTGTTAATACAAGAAAGACCCGTCGAAAATCGTGAGTTTTGCAAAAAAAAAACAAATTGTTACAAAATATAAAGGGCCAAGTGACCAGTCTGGCTGAAACCCCACATACCGGTATAAGGCGCAGTGGTAAACTCCACGCGTCCAGGGTCTATCAGTTCTGTGTTACTCCGCGGAGGAGGGATCAGGACCAGCGAGGCTTCGTATGGAGTTCCTGGACGCAGCTCGTGCAGTTCTACTGCAGGTCTGCTGTGGTGGAGGAGCTCCGTCATGCTGTATATAGGCGTGCCCACTGGACGATACCTTTAAAAAAATATTATTATCCTTGACTTAAACGTATGAATATTTGTTAAGAAAAAAAGTAATGACTCAGTGTGAAAGCTCCCGGTACATAACACAGAAGAAAATCCTAGGTTATAAAATATAGAGTGTTTTTTTTTGATAAAACTGATATTTCCTGTTCAAGAAAGCTAAGACACCAAGTCATTGGCTCTGTGGAGTTCTAGAATAGCGCTACTTTATTCCTTCCCGTGACTACCGTAAAAGGAAACTAAGGGATTCATGACAGAATGGACGGTTGTGTTCTTTGAGCGTACTGCAATCGTCAACTAGTGGTTGGAGGTGTGTGAACACACGGGTAGGCATTACTATCCTTCCCATATCTGCTGTGAACCGGTCTTGCGTCATAGTTTGAAGGGTGAAACAGCCGTTACACAATACTAACTTACTCAAACAGAGACCAACATTCCTGTTTCTATGAGCTCCAGTAACCACTTAACATCGTAAGCACCTTCACCTAACTAAGTTAGAATCTAAATTCCTACGCCTCCTAATGCCATCTGATTAATTTCGTTGCGAGACTCAAGAGAAGCTAGCTTTTCTGTTGGGTTACCTGACCTTCATCGTTTACTCTTTTAGCTATAAAGAAGTAACTGTAACGACAGTGAGGGTCAGACTGGTACCCGGTATACATCATCAAAACTATTAAACTGCACACACCTGACTTGTATGCCATCAATGTACTGCAGTTCTTCCTCAGAGAAGCGTCTCCAGTTGAGCTGTGCTGTTGTATCGTTGACTTCCAAAACTGTTAGTTTACTGTCAATTTCTTTGCGTTTCTCTTCAACCGGTGTTTCGATCTGAGGATAATTAATTTCGAAATCGTATAGTTACAAAATACACACGAGCAACCACAAACGGGGTCCTTGAAAACTAATTAGCTGTCATAATCCCATCTATATTTACCCCGAAGCAGCCATTAACTCCAGTTTGGAGAATGGGATAACCGCGAGTAAGTCAGACACGATCGTTTGCTCCGAAATTAGCATTCCACGCACTAAGGTACCGATATATTTACTAACCATACGAATGTTTTTCTGAATTGGGAATCGAACCCACGACGCTCGGAATAGTAGTCAAAGACTAACTACAGCACTACCGAGTCATCATCAGCCTGAATCTCTCCACTGCTGGATGTAGGCCTCTCCCATAGTCCGCCACAATGAGCGATCCCCGCTTTCTGCGTCCAATCTTTCTCAGATTCATCTCAGACCAATCTTTAGGGCTATGTCGGTTACTTTGGTTCTTTGATGGGTTTCCTCATTTTTGATTTGATCCACAAAAGAAACTCCGAGCATACACCTTTCCATAGCACGCTGAGTGACTTTGAACTATGGTCAATGTCCGCGATTCAGCGCCATATATCATGACCGCCGGTCATGATTACAGAGTCAGTCTGTTATAATATTCAGATCTCGACGTCACGGAAAGTGAGATTTTGTGACTTCTATAAATAGTCACAGTTAGGTAGTGTTGAAAAGTTATTCACCTTAAGGGAATCAAGGGAGAATGGGCAGAAAGGGACAAGCTAATAATACATATATTTTTGTTTCGCATATTTGATGACTTACAGTCGGCGCGTCCTGGGTCCGAACAGTATAGACTTCGCTTTTCGGTTCGACGGGTAAGTTGTGGAGGTAAAGCTTCGCCCGGATCTTGTACGTTGTCGACGGCTTCAGGCCTGTCAGTCGGAACTCCAAGCGCGGCGTGGTCAGCACCTCGTCGGCCGGAGCGAACACTTGGGAACTCCATTGAGATACATCTTCGTCTCTGGGGAAGAAATATTGAGGTAATTCATTACCTACGAGTAAAACAGACAAACAACCTAACGTACAAACAGACCTAGAGTCCAATACTTCGCAGAAATCTAGCCATAAATATCGTTCTGTCTGATGCTGTGTCTATCGCGAGGAAGTCGGATTTGAAACTTAAAATAGTGGTTATTCCAATGCCATTGAGATTTCGATTCCCTGTCACAAGGAAGTTGGTTTCGCAACTTTGAAAAGCATGTCCCAATTCGTTTAAAATAAGCCGATTTAAAAATTAGATATTTCGTTTTCTTTCTGTGATTATCAAATCAGAATATTAGGTCAAAGTAATGAAATTAATACTGTTCTTGATCCTTGATACGTGCGCAAATTTGAAATTGGTGAAAATTTGCGTTGAAATATTCCATTACTTATTAAGTATCTATATCTAACTGTATTGTACTATCAAAGTTATATAGCAAGTACTTACACCTTATCAGTATATCTCAAGTCCACACTTCCACGTAGCCCTACCAGAACGGGAGGAAGTCCGAACATCATCTTCACACTGTTCGGAGAGTCCGCTTGAAGACTAATTACAGATAATTTCTTATTAACTTCTCCATAGTTCGTTGGCATTGAAAATCCTGGAGGTAATCCTTGTATGCCCGGCTCCAAAGGATTGCTGGGACGATGAATGTTATTCTGGTCGTAATCTGGAATATCGTCTTGCGGAAAGTGGATCTCTGGGGGAATAGTTGGAAGGAAGGAGGGTTGTTGGGGACGAGAATCTTGTTGAGGGAACCCTGGTGGTGGCGGAGGTGCTTCGCCTATAAACAAAAATTAATGCTATAAGGAATAATCTAGGAAAATGTTACTATAATACAAATAGGTAATTGAAAAAAAGTTGTTAAGAGGTTTTTATTGTGAGAGTTATGAGTGCGATGATGAAGTCGTGTGATAAAATATATAGTTAAGTCACAGAAGGTCAGTCACGTGTCTAACTACTGATACAAGGGGTAGTCCAAGGCTAGGTCACTGACCTGCCACGATATCTTGGCTCTTGTCAGCAGATCGTCCTAGGTTCCTATTTACTTCTGATTCAACTTCCATCTGTCCGAGCAAATGTTCAAGGTCTAAGGAAGTATACTTTTTCCCGATGGGTTGAGAAATCTTTTCGTTTCCCGTCAATGTTGATTTTGCGTCCATTTTAACGTTCGGCACTGCCCTTAGTAAGACTGTTTCATAAGGGTTCGGTGATTTTGTCAATAAATGAGTATTCTGATCGGGCGTCCACAAACCCTTAGTTAGAACATTATTGTTGGGCTTTAAGGTATGAATATCTTTTGTTTTCAACATGGTAACGTGTTTTCTGGTATTGTGCAGAGAAGCATCAGTTTTTGTATTAAACAAAAATGGAGGGTTTGAATTTGCGGAGTAGGTAGAAGAAATATTAACTCTCGTCGGTTCAAAATAACTAGGAGTAGCTTGTTTAGGGTGTGAAAAAATTTTGTTTTGTTCCGAGTTGTACGAATGTATTGTAAGTGGAATCTTCGTCGGACCCTTCGAATGATCATGGTTTGGTAAAAACAGGTCTAGATTTGGTAATTGTGAAATGGGAACTTTTTTGACAGGTTCATGTACATGATAATCAAGGTTCAAAGAGTCTGGATAGAAATGTATATCTTTTGATTCAGTACCTGTAGACTGTAGTAAATTATGAAATTTATCATCAGACACGATAAAATGTGGTTTATCTTTATAGAGCGGACTTTTCTGATAAGACTTTGCATGGTAAGTCGATTTTGTGATTGGATCCAGCAGCTCAAATTTATTTGGTTCCGGGGGAGACAATTTCCAATCAACGTTGGACGTCACAAATGGAGTATCAGCGTGTATAATTTTCAATGGAGACTCCATATCGTCCAATGTAAAAACTGTGATATTATCATTGGGGACATAGTTACTTGGAGTCACATAGTATTTCGGGACGCTACTTGTCAAGGGAATCGGGTTGAACGTTTTCAGAACTTTAGGAAAAGATTTCACTGGACTCAAATGTCTGTAAAAGTCAATGGGGTCGGTCGTGAGCGGCGGAGTTGGTAAGATTGGAGAGAGAGTCGGTGAGGATGGAGAGATTCGTGTCACATAGTTTTGGTCTGGTCCTATGAATGTCGGCATGCTATGACTTTGTTTTGTTGTTCCGACGCTTTCGGCTGCAAGCAACAACGTTCATGAGTGACATGCAAATGATGATAAGTGATTAATGACTTCTGTTTGTGGAGTTTGAAGTATCTATTTTTCTGGTATCGCAACTGTCTCAATTGCTAAAGATCAAGATCATGTTTGTCAAATAAATTATTATATATTGGCCAAACTTTGAATGTTTGTCAATTGGTTTATGCATTGCTAAAATTTCAGATAAATAGACCATCAAACCAATACGAGACGTGTATATAATGTCCCACCACCTCAAAAGAATCGAGATATTTACCATTGGGTACACATCCCCATTCCTTACAACAATCCTCGTCAGATATATTGACGGGTGCTGGCCTGTGCAAAGGTGGACATCTGAAATTTTGAGGCGGAACCGCTGGTAATGGAGAGCAGACCTCCTGGCAGTCCAGCTCTCCGTTCTCGCAGAAACAGCGTTGCTCGCAGCCCGTGAGGTCGAGAGGGACTTCACTCCAGTTAGGCACACTGACATAATAAAATTGTTGAAGTATACGTTTTTTTTTATTGCCTTTGTAGGCAGACGAGCATACGGCCCACCTGATGGTAAGTGTTCACCGTCGCTCATGGACGTCAGCAATGCCAGGGGCAAAGCTAAGCCGCTGCCTACCATTAAGTACTCTCCGCAAGCCTCGTTTGACGAAGGACATGTCATAGCGCTCGGAAAGCACCGTGGAGGAGAGTTCATTCCAAAGCCTTAGAAAAATAACCTGAGTTAAATATAAGTTTATGAATAATCAATTTTGTACAATATTTTTTATCAAATACTTAATGACCAGCAAGATTTTTACAGCATAATTTGCATAATTACTGGTGTGAGCCGAGACCTCTTGTGAGTCGGGACGGGTAGGTACCACCACTCTGCCTATTTCTGCCGTGAACCAGTAATACGTTTCGGTCTGAAGGGTGGGGCAGCCATTGTAACCATAGAACTTATATCTCAAGGTGGGTGGCGCATTTACGTTGTAGATGTCTATGGGCTCCAGTAACCACTTAAAACCACGTGGGCTGTGAGCTCGTCCACCCATCTATGTAATTGAAAAAATAGAAGATTTAGTATTTTATTTGAACCATAAAAAAATTTATAAAACATTATGTAGAAACAAGTATAGTTTTAAGGATTTCAGTCTGTTAAATATCATTGAGATATTAAGAAAAACATTACCTCCGATATATTTTCAAAAACTAGGTGGCTCCGATATTATGAGTAATTGTGATCACTAATCATCGGGCTCCTTTGCTTTTAAAATAAAAAACAAATAGCTTTTTCGTAATAATGACTACTACTCTCCTTAGCCGATTTCGGCCACGCCGACTACGTCGTTTCTAATTGTCACTGTGTGCTCGTCTGTGGCTAACACAGCCAATCTTATTCGTAAATCACATAAACTTTGTACCCCTTTTTACTAAAATTGCGAGGACGGAGGTGTATGCAATTTTCCACACTTATAGTTTATATAGAGAAACAGGGTAGTTAGAATGCAATTTTTTTTTTTAAATATGCATAATAATACGTTAAATCAATAAAAAACATTATGACACACACTACCATGTATTTGACACACACACGCATATATACTCTTTTGTTTATTGTTAAAGTCTGTGGTCGAATTGAGAATAGATTAATATTGTTTATCTACAGTGTAGGTATATATGTATATATAAAGTCTTGGCTAAATTTGTTAAAAGAGATCTATGCTAAGTCTTTGATAATAGACTCTGAATAATGTTCAAACTTATATTTTTAAATTTCGACTATAATTATAGCTGACCACTAGTTATAATAATTCTAATTCGCAATGATTAGAGTAGATACTTACGCGACTCCCTTGTAATGGCAGGTTCCATCGCTGAGGCACCTGGCGGACCGCGGGCAGCAGTTGGGCGGCACCGCGGGCGGTGAGGGCGCCCACCGCACGCAGCCCTTGGACATCAGCTCCAGGCCCACATGCGACGGACACACCAGGGCCGCGCACTCCCGCTTGTCCGGGCCGGTACACTCGCACAACTCCGAGCATCCGATATGGAACTCTTCGCCTGGTGACCGATTTTTTGTTTTTTCCTACCTAAGCTGATAGCCTTGAGAGGCTATTTTAGCGTAACCTTAACTAGTAGGTGAGCTCGCGGGGCTCAAGCCTGACGAAGTTGCTAACACGAGCCGGGTTTCGCAGAATCTACCACCGTATCGGAAACGCAACCCACTGAGAAGATCCGGCAAGAAACTCAGTGGGCTGTGTCTGTGGGTTAATTTACTCGTCGAGTCCTTCGTCGCAAGCGATGGGTTCGACGAGAACGATGACCGGTGGTGACCGAGTAGTGCTAGTTTATTTGTTTAATTTGGATATTTGTCTAAAAACGCCAATTGCATAGTGAAATGTTCAAACTCAAGTCGTAAGTATATTGATAGGTTCTTCAATGATACAAGATCGCTGAAACTACATATTGTAGAAATGTATTTTTAAATTTGATAAATGAAAATCTATAGGACAATCTAACAAGATGCATTTAAATCATAATGGCGGACCACCCTTCAGTTCCGCGTTCGGTAAGAATTTGCGGCACTTTCTCAACAAAACGATTGTTCTAATTATTATTTAGCAACATTATCAGCCACAGTACCTCCACTCTGAATGTAGACCTTCCCTAAGGCTAGTCATGGCGACCGATTCTGCATTATCATATTTTTATTGTAATTTGGAAAAACTTACCAATTTCATAAAACTTTCCATTTTCATAACACCCTTCTTTGGTATCGTTTCTCATATCTTCTGCTCCAACCTTCACTTCATTCTCAGCGAAGGCTGTTGTCGTTATAGTGAAGTTAAATTTAGTACCGGTTTCTTTTGTTTTCAGAATGTAATCTTTACCGCCGTCAAGATTAAGAATCAAATTCGAGTACTTAAGTTCTACGTCTTGATATGTTTTTCCGCCATCATCGCTTAATAGTAAATGGACTGGATCTTCAGTTGTGTTCACGTGGATGAGATTGACTTGGACTGAGTTATTGTTCAGTACTTTGACTGAGCCGATGGGTTCAGCTAAGACGAGGGGTCTACTGGTCGATTTTAATTCTTCCGACATATCAAAGCTTCTTGCCGTCTGCAAAATAAGCAGTTAAATGAAAATCTAGTCATTCACTTGGTAAATTGACAAATCAAATAGAAACTGTTCGTGTGTCTGCTTTGAAGATTTATGTCCTAGTTAAGATTTTGCTTTGGAACTGGCTTAAAGCTGTTACTATATATATTTAAATAATAATAATAATAATAATAATAATTTATTTATTTCTCTCTTAAAGGTACAAGGTACATACAAATTCAAATGGAAATAAATTAACCTTATAATTTACTATATTATACCTTATAATTTATTATCCCTACATCGGTGCTTATTCGTCACATAGTAACTGTTGAGAAATCCGTTTATCTTATTTACTCAAATTGACGTAAACTTGTTAAAATTTTATTAACTAATTAGAAAAAACTTGAACCCAACACAATGCTTTATAAACTTTCGATATTAAAACAGTTTTATAGATGTAATCAGACAAAATTAATTTCAAAATCCAAAACGGGAAACAAACATAGCTTTTTATAGACTTAGTCAAGAAAATATTCAATCAACCAAACAGATGAAAAGATTATAGAACCTGACGAAATATGCCAAATTATTATCAATGAACACTAATGAATAGAACGCTTGATAAAGTAGAAAAGGGTTCGCTGTGGTGACTAGTGGTGACTAGCGATATGATCTCATCGATAAGAGTAAGCGTATTATAGTATTTTTTAAGTCCTTTTTCAAATGTTTACGATTCGGATTTTTGTCGAATTGCTTCTATTGTCAATAGCTACCGCTGTATTATTGACATGATTCAAACATTTTTAATACGCTTTTATTAGCTTCAGACGTATGTATGTAACGGATTTTTTGCACATGATTTTGACTCCCTTCAAAAATTGAAATTCAACTAAAAAATGAAAAATAAATAATAGTTTAAAAAAAGTAACAAAATACGCTTTTATAGAAAATCCAACTAAAAATAGAAAATTAACTGTAATAAATTTGAATTTAAAATAGTATAAAATAAAATGCGTGGGGTGCATGGTATCAGTAGTTATAAATATTTTATGAACAGATATGAGTAGAAGGGTTATTTTGATAATATCCTGAAAAGCACCCTATGCTTTTTTTACAATAAAATTATTTTTCTTACACTATTTTTAATTCAAATTTATTACAATTTATTTTCTATTTTTTAGTTGGATTTTCAATAAAAGCGTATTTTGTAAGTTTCTTTAAACTATTATTTATTACAGTTAATATTAGTTTTCTTACAGACGTCGCCTGTGTTACCTCACTAGCGCTTGTCGTAGAAGATGTGACGTTATCAGGCGGTTCTTCGTGAACGTCTTGTGATACATCGCACACTTGGATCTCGCAGCACGCGTCATTCGGATCTTGGACGTTGATACATTTCTCGGACGGACTGTATTGTTTGCATCTAGGATATCAGGGAGATAGCTTTAATGAGTAAACTAATAATCTAATGTGATGTGCATATAAAGTTTTCTTTTTTTTTTATAAAGAATTTGGCTCCAACGCCTTTGGCATTGATTTTGCCAATGTCAAAGTATTTACAAAAATGACCGGTACTTAGAGAGGAAAAAAATTACTAAATCTAAATACAAATAAATCTGGTCGGTTTTTCCATATGCGAATCTGTGGTTTTAAGAGCAGCACAAACAAATATATGTCAGACTAACTACTTTAGAGATAAGTATCAAAGTTTTAGTTTATTCCTCATTCGCATACGTCAAATGCCTGAAATTTCCATTTGTTTCAAGTGAACGATTCTTACCGAGGTTTGCACGTAGCTACAGAATTAGGTTCGCACGTGCAGCTCTGTTCACATCCGATATTCCATTTGGTTCCGACCGGGTATGTATCGTTCCCGTAGCGGCAAACATCTAGTTTCATTGGCTTAGTATCTGTAAGTTAGATAACGTTATATCATAAGTACAAATAACTGAAGTCTTTACATAGTCGTCGTGGCCTAAAGGATAAGACGTCCGGTGCAATCGTGTTGAGCGATGCACCGGTGTTCGAGTCCCAGGCAGGTACCAATTTTTCTAATGAAAAACGTATTCAACAAATGTTCATGATTGACTTCCACGGTGAAGGAATAACATCATGTAATAAAAATCAAACCCGCAAAATTATAATTTGCGTAATTACTGGTGGTAGGACCTCTTGTGAGTCCGCGGGAGTAAGTACCACCATACTGCCTATTTCTGCCTTGAAGCAGTAATGCGTCTCGGTTTGAATGTTGGGGCAGCCGTTATAACAATACTTGACACCTTAGAACTTATATCTCAAGGTGGGTGGCGCTTTTACGTTGTAGATGTCTATGGGCTCCATTAACCAGTTAACACCAGGTGGACTGTGAGCTCGTCCACCCATCTAAGCAATAAAAAATATATTGTATCGATATGCACAAAATTCAGATAGTTGTCGCCATTATAGATGATCAAACGATCTATTGCTCGGTGATAAATTGATTGGTTTCTAATCTTCACTAAAGTCTTATTATCTGGTTAAAGTAAAACATAATACACATTCACTTAATTAAGAAAGCAAACCTTCCACGTTGGCCTCAAGCTAGAATTATTCCCAATGACTAAGAAAGACAAACAAAGATGCCTTTGCATCCAGACACCGAAAAACCTTTCATAAAGATGGTGGATAATCGAACCAAAAACTCATGGAACAGCTGTCAATCACTCGATCAGCGAGGTAATTGCAACCTTCGTCCAGTGATAAGCCAACCGATCACCTTCCGATTCGAGACACAAGATTTAAATCTCCATAGCGTTAAAGAAACTCACTCTCTCCCAACATTTCCAAGATTATTTATTGCTTTTATAATTAAGATTACACTAGAAAACTCGATTTAGGGTTTCAAAATTTAAATGCTACAACAATCTAACACCGACCCATTATGACGCTAAATGAGATTCTTCAAGGTCGAAATACATATGTACAATTTCGTTCATAATGCACTTGAAGAGATGCATTTCTCCCAACATATAAATACGCAAAGGAAAATGGTCATGTGGTCACTGCTAGAACGTTATGTGAGCCCGCACAGGTGGGTACCATCGCTCTGTCTATTTATGCCGAGAAGCAGTAATGCCTCTCGATTTGTGCAAGCGTTGTACTGTAAAAACTGTGACTTAGAACTCATGTTTCAAGATGGGCAGCGGTATTGACGTAGTTAATGTCTACAGGCTCCATTGTTCATCCAAATCCATCATGTTAGCAACGAAAAAATATAGTAATGGTGAAACATACCTCCATTACCAGTGGAACAAGCGATAATAGAGCAGCAGCTGTCTACAGGAGATTCAAAGCATAAGGGATCGTTCAATCGTCGCCCGCTGCGAATGTAAGGATGTTTACAGCGCGGTGAACATTCGAAAACGCCGCCCGGAGTACACTCACATGATTCTTCGCATCCACGATCCATATGATCACCGATCTGATTGGAAAGAAAATCATATTCTAAGATTTTTTTAAATGCCTTCACTGCTCTTCAAACCTTGTTCGAAAAAGGACTGCAAAAACGTGCAAGTTCATGAGAAAAATCGATAAAACGTGGTAAAGAAATAACTATCTAACCTTTTCTCAATTGGCGAGCAGTTAAAATTCCTCAGAGCTCTCCTCCATATAACACATGGTACAATAAAGATTCAATGGACTCCCAATAATCTTAACTTATCTTATATATTTATTTATATACCTTTAAACGAGCAATTCTTGTATATATATAATCTGAATCTGGGAAACGGCACTAACGATTTTTATAAAATTTTGTATACAGGGGATTTCGGGGGCGATAAATCGATCTAGCTACGATTTATTTTCAGAAAATGTTGTTTTATTCGTGTTTTCAATAATCAACTTTATCGATAATCAACTTTATGACTCTTCCCGACATCTATTGGCGAATAATAATACTATTTTTTACAATTGAGAGCAACTAACTGCTTTAAAGACACAATAACAGATGACGTTGTTAAGCCACTCGAAGCCAACGAGTGTTTGGTTTAAGGTTAGACCAAGAAAATTAATTGTTTATTTATATCATTTGTGTCTTTTTAACTCACGTGTTCACTTAAAAATGCCTAAACGATCTTGGAATATTTCATCATTTTATCGATATGTAATTCGTATTTAAATATAATTTCTAAAAAACACAATTTATCAAAAAAATATAAAACCGGTCATCGTCTAGTTGAACTTATGACACAAAATACAGATAAAATTGAAATACGTATCATAAATTGGTTGATAGCCGCCATAATTTAACACATTCTTCGCATTCGAATGTATCATGTAACATGGACCATTCTTTATCTAAATTTAGAAGCTTTCGTGACTTATCAGGCCAGTTCACTCGTATCGATTGATACCACTCAGGCGGGTTACAAATACTTTGGCAGGTAAAATATTTTTTTAGGAAATGTACAACCTTACACGACCGTTTTCCGCAATAAATGAATAAAATCGTGCTATAAATTGAACCCAGAAATTAAATGTACATAATTATTGGTAAGTCTGCCGCACAGCGAGTCTGAACCAAGCTAGCACCATCTTGCCCATTCCTACGGTGAATGAATAATATATATGCGTTTTACAAAACACTTGAGACATCCATCTAGTATCTTAAAATGGATGTCGCCACTTCATGAGTACTCAACTTCTAGTCAGTCCTGAGATCAAAAATTTATTGAAAGCTTAATGGCTTACATAGAAAACTTCAGTGGTGGTCCAACGTAAAAAAAACCAACCTTATAACTGATTTCGTTTTCTTTGCAGGTTCCGATTTCATCTGAGCCCCGTTCGTTATTCAGTAAATGATGGAAAGGCGCTTGTAAATTTGAATAAAATTTGTCCGGAATATTCTTGTTCTTGTGATCGTGTATCCTCGGAACTTCGTCGTCTTCTTCATCAAGATTTACGTCACTCAAATCCAAACCCTTTTTACTGCTCTTCTCGATAGTCTGATTGTGTAGTGCGTTTGCGAAGTTTTGAAGTTCATCTACATTTAAATTGAGTAGTCTAGGTTGTGGTTTTGGTTCGATAGCTTCTTGAGCTTCTGTTGTCACTTCTGCTTCTTTCGTCAATTCTGCTTCGGTCACGTTTTCTGTCACTTCTATTATTCTTGGTGTAGGAGTTGAGATTGGAGGTAATGTCTCTAGTGTTTGTGATGACGTAGTTGATGGCACTTCTTCTTCGTCGTTAGCTATTTTACCTGTAAATAGTATAAGTAATTTTAATTAATTTGAAGTATGCTTTAAATAAGTTTCAAGGTCTCAGTATTATAAACATCAAAACAACCAGTTTAACAAATTGATTTTATATCCTCATGTACAACAAAAACTTAAATCATTTCATAGCTTATGGGTCAATTAATGTAATCGTATATATCGCAAGCATTTATAAAGTGCGGATGTATAAATAAAATGCGTCAACTGATCAAAAAGTGGATCACGGTCAATAATCGAGATATACTGGTCACTGGCTTAGATAGTACGATATTTTACTAAAGACCTTAACGCGAGACAATAAGGCTTAAACTCTATCGCAAATTTAATCGGAAATAGAGCCCTGAAATTGATTTGTTCGATGTCCGATCTTGATTTTTATTTACGGCTTCGGAAACAAATTGTAGTTTAAAAGTTTTGTTACTTATTGACATACAATTGATTTGTAAGCATGTTTTTTTGAGCTCACAAGGCTCACCTGATTTTAAGTGATTAGCAGAGAGATCTCACACCATGAATTGAAATGTGAGATGGAACAGACAAAATTGTATTATTGTATAGCAACTGTTTAAATATTAAGACCAGAACGCTCGAATGTAGCTTACATTGCGGCATTATGTTAGTCAGGTGGCCTCACAATATCAATATGACATTCGGGCTTACAATATCAATAAATAATCACCAGTAATAAGTAATATATATTTATGTGTGCTTAATTTTAGACTCACAACCAAATGAAATTCAGAGTGCCTCGTATAAGAACTCGCCGGTTTGAGACTGGGCTGGTCGCGAGAAAATTTAATATATATTTTTTTCCTTAATAGTTTTATGTTTATTTTTATCGAATAAGTAGCGAAGAACAATAAATAACAACAAACCTTTGGCGTGCCTACGCTACAGCGCTAAATAATAAACACGTTTTGAGCCAGTAAGGTCATCATCAGTTACATCGGCTGTGCGTTATCAAATAAACCGGTCTCTCGTGTGCCGCTTTTACGAGTAGTATCCTTATCGATGAAAACTCATTAAATCTCTCACTAATGTGAATATGAAAGTCGATAAGCAGTACTGTTTCTGTTTTATTAATCTTCGGTAACACATTGCATGCACAAATCACGGCGGGGTCACCAGTTGTAGATATACGACATAGGGAAGATCTTCCACCGAGCGGGAAGCGATATTGCTCGGTAGACCGACGGTCCGAATGTTTTTGTTCGGAGCTTGTATATATGCTTAGCTTGCTTAGCTTGCTTAGCTTATCTTGAAAATGTCGTAAGCGAGATTCAGGCATTTGTCAAATAACTTCTGCCCTATGAACCGGTCATCGTTCTCGTCGAACCCGTCGCTTGCGACGAAGGGTTCGCCGAGTAAATGAATCCACAAACAGCCCGCTGAGTTTCTCGCCGGAACTTCTCAGTGGGTCGCGTTTCCGATCCGGTGGTAGATTCTGCGAAACACGGCTCTTGCTAGGGTTCGTGTTAGCAACATCGTCAGGTTTGAGCCCCGTAAACTCACGTACTAGTTAAGGTTACGCTGATATGGTCTCTCTAGACCATCAGATTAGGTAGAAACAAAACGTCCTATGATGGCTACCGCCAATACAATACATACAATGTAATTTAAAAATCGAATTCGAAGAAAGATATTGATTAATCAAACATCAATATTGCTCACTGATTTCCTGTGCTCGTAGTACACGACTTACTCCAAGTACTACATTGGATGACCTCAAGTCGGCCTCAGCAAGATGTAGGTTACGCTTAGAGTAATAATTACCGGTTCGTAACAGATTTATTCACGGCTATTTCAAATAGACATTACTATGATTTTCATTAATAAAGAAGTTTATATATAGTTATTATTTGTGCATTTTAAAACTTTTTTTATTTATTATAACTACTAGGTGAAAGGATCCTCTGAACTTAAACTAAGGGGATTGCAGCATGCACAAAAAAATTGCGTATTTATTCCAAGATGCATTGATTTATTTTTATTTGAACAACTACATATTATGAGTTGGACTTCGTTTTTCATTCGTCGTTTAATAGACGGTATTCATATTTAAATTATTAATTTAATAAAGTATTTAATTGGGTCCAATAAAACACTTCACAAACAAAATAAAAACAAAGCTGCCCCCGTTTATTTAATAATATTAAAGTAACGTCCAACGCAAATTTACATTATGTTCACGATTGATTTCTTTGAATTATAATAACAGACACAGCCCACTGAGCTTCTCGCCGGATCTCAGCGGGTCGCGATTTCGATCCGGTAGTAGATTCATTCACGATGCAGCTGCTCTTCAGTTATACCTACCAAACGACTCCCCTTGCACGCGGACGCTCACCTACCCGCTGGTCTGATCTGGTAAAGACGCCCACCGGCCTGCCTATAACCGAGGCTATAAAGAGAATAAAGAAGTATAGTGAATCGAGTGGTCAATATTTCAAACTAGACACGACCTTCAGTAATAAAGAGACCGACTCAGAAAAAAATCTTCAATGTTGCCCACCCTATGAGGGGTCGTATATCCAAAATTTGTCAATCAATGCCCAATAAATCCGGACAATACTACCACTATTCAGTGGCCGTTTCATACAGTTCCATATTCCCAGCAGGCTTTCGAGTTACCGACTAAGAAGCGGGTCACTTTTACATATGAGACAAGCAATTGTCAAAAAGCCAATGACTCAGTAGCGTTGAAGGAGGTATGTCCTCATAACTTGTTGCGTAAAACGCGTCAGACATCCGCATACGATTCTCATGTGTAGCTGGACAATCGCGTGTGGTCTGACGCAGATTATTTGCGACAGGAATTATCGGGTTACTGTTAAGTGTGTAACGAGCATTGAACGCAGACTGCTCTACAACTTTTTGGCGTACTAAAACATTGTTAACAATACCATTTAATGGAACCTTAAAAGCCAAGCAAATTTGTTTATTGCAGTAAGAATTTCACTGTCAATAATAGTCAGTCATCCGTGGCTACGAAAACCGTGACGTATAAGAAACGCCTGATATAATATAATAACTGAAAATCACGAGATTTAACCGTAAAGTACATATATTTAATTTTTTTTAAAACTCGCGATAAAAGATATTATATTCTACTAACCGTACTCGCCCGTTTCGCTGGACATTTAAAATTAACATTATTATTTATTGTCATTATTATTAGGGAGTCCAACACTCATATAAATATTAGCCTATCCATTAAGTACATGTATTTTCTACATGAATGCCAAGTTTCTAGTTAATGGGATGCATGGTTCAGTAGTTATAAAGGTATATCCATAAAAACCACTGCAGTATTATATTTAGTATAGATAACGTTTATTTAAACTATAATTAATTATTCTCCCGCTTAACCAGGCGCAATTTTAATGCTTTATCATAGACACAGGTCGTTAGTGCTAAGCCTTCTAACACGTATTTTGTTAGAAGTCACGTATTTTGCTTTTTTTTTTCATTTTTCGGTCCAACAATTCGAAGATAGAAACTGACACTAAAAGAAAGATTGAAAATATTAAAATACGTTAATACCTACTGAACAAAATAGAGAAACAGTTGACAAACAGAAGTGGAAATTGTACTAAGCTGTTTTGTTGTAAGATAAACTTAGTGTACTTAAGCTATTCACGGCTTAATTAAAATCTGACCAAACAATTCGTAATGTCATTCATTCGGATTACGTATATGTAATATTTGTATTAACAAACAATGGCGTCGAACAGTGACCGTCTGCGTAGATACATAACATTATCCGACCATTGCACCTCACATATACAAATACATATGTATATTATGTATTAGCTGCAAGTTCGTAGTTGTTAAATAAATAGGTCTTAATCGCGCTAATAAACTTTTGAATTTCACTTCTCTGTGTACTAATAGATGTCAAAATTCGAACAAAAACAAAAAAATAATAATATTCCGTCTTTATTTTGTGGCACGTAGAGTGTGAAATCTAGTAGATGTCAAAATTCGAACAAAAACAAAAAAAAAAAATTTCCGTCTTTATTTTGTGGCACGTAGAGTGTGAAAACTAGTAGATGTCAAAATTCGAACAAAAACAAAAAACAAAAAAAAATATTCCGTTTTTATTTTGTGGCACGTATAGTGTGTATGAAAGACATTAATTTTAAAAACTTCTTGGTGCTATTGATTCTGTTACCTTTTAATTTCAAAGAATTTTCCGATTAAAAAAAAAACAATCAACAAGATATGCATTGTCATTATGAGGTCAACGGATTACAGTTATTGTACTATTGAAATTATTTTTACGATATAATCTCATGTTTTCTATTTTAATTATTTTATTTCTGACGGTTTGAATACTTTACTGTTTCCGTGGCTACGGACGTTTAAGAAAATTGAGAAAACCGAAGAAAATTCTATATTGTAAATCAATGTTGTTCTTTTTAACGATAATATTTGATTTTTTTTAAACTTTCTATTATTAATAAACTGTGATGCAATGAAATAAAAAGAGATATTTTTTTTGTGGTAGATTCAGAAAAAAGCTTCTGCCTGGTGTTGAGATGATTACTAAAACGACAAACTTCTAAATGTAAATTTCTCACAAACTTCTAAATGTAAATTTCGTCGCCAACCTTGACACGTGGTGTCAAATTCTGAATTAGATTGATGGCAAATCTATGCGTGTGTATGCTAAACTGCTTCCCTTCCAGTTAAATTCTCAATTATTACAAAATACAATTATACACACACAAACATCGATTCATAAAATCGAAGATAGACCTAGTGCACACATAAAACATGTAAACAAATCGCGATTTTACCATTAGGTCTTTTTTAAAGTAATGAAATGCTCATGGGAGTGAGTTAAATGGACCTTACTGAAGTCAAAGTTTTATACCAGTAGTTTTTGATTTGAAACTGCATATTTGATTTTATTTGATTCTAAATTGTTGTTTTACTAATTTTTAGAGCCGAATTTACTCGTTAATGTAGTAAAAATTAT